TTGGGGCAAACAAGTCCCACATCGGTTGTGGGAAGAAATTAAATCCACCATATAACTCAAGTGGGCTACTCCACCCATTACCAATTGGTTTTGGGATGGAACCTCACTTGAGTCTGGTGGAGTGGGATTGAGCATTGGGTAATTGCTCTCAATATTTCCTAACAGGGTGCTTGCATTTCTGATCTTTTTCCCGGGTTTTGATGAATTATGATACAAATTTGATGCATTGGTGCCTTGTATTTATTTTCTTGATTCTTTTGCGCTTTTCACTGTTAATTATGAAGGGATTGAATTTTCGGATTACATGTTGCATGATGCTGTTTCTTTCTTTATTTATTTTTTGGATCTTCTCTTATTCAGGGAGTGAATTACGTGCACTACGTTTTCACCTAGAAAATAAATACAAGGCACCAATGCATCAAATTTGTATCATAATTCATCAAAACCCAGGAAAAATATCAGAAATGCAAGCACCCTGAATGGGAGGCTTCATATTATTATGAGAGAGATGTTGTGTGGTCATAGACTCATATATGAATTTTGGAATGGCCACAAAAAGTACTCCTTTATCAGGAAGAACAAGGATCAGTAAATTGAGATCACATATGTACTGCTTCTTATGATCTTGTATGAATATTATCTTGATTCTTGCTACTAGAACCAAAGTCGAGTTGGATTGTGGTAAATGTTTAGAATCAAGTTTTCACCACTTACACCAAGATAGATACATGTCGCGTGAAATGATTTGACCATTTAAGGGTGGGAATACTTATGAAGTATTGATTAGGTGTAATGGTTCTTTAGTCCTAGCTCAGTTGCTTAAGATGAATGGTAAATACTGGCATGTGTATTTAAGACTAAATTATGGAACCAGACAGTTTTTCCATGGACAGGCTATGTATATGATCTGTCCTCTCAGTCCTCGGTTTCATCTTCGATACTTGTAACAGGATTTATATGTTGGTTCATAAATCTCCATTTACGTACCTTCTTTTTAGTTTATATTTATCATAATATGAAGGCCTTGTTTTCAGGCTAGATTTCCTGTATTCTAATTCAGTCAAAACTATTGAACTTGTTCATACAACAAAGCAAAAAATGAATTTGGACTTATTCACAATAACTTTGAGCCATGAGGTATCTGCTGCATGAACTTTTTTACTCCACTGCATTTGTTCCGTTGCTACATGCTCATTACTCCACTGGGTTTCTTTTACCACTCCAATTCTTTTGCCTCACGTTTACCAATATGATATCAGGTGGATATCTATAGAGTAAGTTTATTGATTTCTTACAAAAGAATAGATATATATATAGAGAAATGATCTAATGAGCACCGGTGCTCATCTTATCGTAAACACCGATGAGTTGGCACATTAATTTATTGGTGGATAAAGATTTTGTGAGTTCTAATCCACCAATGAATTAATGTGCCAACTCATC